CTTGTCACTCTGCTGACACAATTTTCAATTTTTTAACTTCATCTCATTTATAGTTCATGTTTGAATCCTTCAAACACTTGTGTTCACATAACCCTCACCATATATTTATGTAAGGCTCATGCTTGTTGGAGGTACATGAATGCCACAAATCTAACACAAAATGAGCCGACTGACCTGGACAGGTGAAGCCTAACAATTTTAGAAAATAGCACAAATTCAGAAGTCTTTAAGATGCAATTGTTCATTATAAGTGTTATAAAAATGGCTCCTAACCACTTAAGTCTGCTCACTGTGCATCTTAGCTATGTTACTCACCTGTGTGGCTCTAGTGAGGCATTATTACTTTTAATTCCTCCTAGTTCTGCAGAGGCTACAATACTGAAGAGACAAGGAAGATATTAATCACCCCATAGATTTTAACATCATTCTACTCTACTGTGACTACCAGTGACAGTCTCTGTGTAATACTACAGGCTTCATGCCAAACACCAATGTCACACAAGCATAGATTTTGGCACCCTCAACCATCTTTCTTTTTACAGGCACAAGAGGGCAAGAAGCCCTCGTACATCGGCTGGGTCCTCAAAGGTAGCAGTAGTCTTGCTTACACACAGTTATTAGAAATCCATCACAAAACAGCAGCTCACAAGATGCTACTATTGAGAGATCTGATTATACTCAGTTACATCTGCACTTGCCTGATGCCTTTACTGGAAGAAACAGGAAAGAATAGCAGGACTCATCACAGTCCATGAAGAGGCAGCTTAAACCCATAGCCCCTCTGTTTCAGTTGATACTTTCAACAACTTCAAACCTTGATTAATCTTATTGCATCCTTTTAAACCAGTGATAATATGCAGGTGCCAAAACTTGCCACAAGTTACATATCGGTTGTGAAGGAGGATACTTACCAGGTGTGCAAAGCTGAAGTTTTTGAGATTCCAGCATATCTATAATCCTTATAGACATTATTAACTCAGGTACAACTTACACAAATTGTTAACTCAACTTCACATGTGCCCTAAAAATTTGGAGTAGGATACAACCTATTACTATACTTTTCCAGAAAAGGGAAAAAAAAAAAAGCACCGTCCAATAGAATTGCAGAACAAGGATCTCAAGTGCAGCAGATACTTCCATGTTTATCTGCAGTAACCTGCAGTGCACATCAAATCCTTCTGTGAGGACACGCTGCAAATCTTGGTTATTGTGTATCAAAACCAAAAGTTTTTGCACGATCAAACTGAGCTTCAACCAATCTGAATAGCAGCAAGATATCCCAGAATACTGTCTTCCACCCATGCAAGAGATTATAGACATAGGCCATAATCATTAGTGCCTATACCATTACAACACTAAACGGCCAACAATTGTTCTGGTTTGTTTGGATTCACTAGCAATGCAAAACACTGGGCTGTAACCTATTATTAATCCCTGCGTTACACAAATATTGTTCAAATGGTTTTGAACAATGCACCTTAGGTGCAATGTAAATGTAACGTAAATTACATCTGTTAAATGTCTTATTTTAAAACACATCTTACAGTACAGTAACAGCATTACATAAAATGTCTTCCTTCTATTCAGTAATATTATTTTATAATGATAATCCATGCACAGAGTATTAGCAGAGCATTTAAAACTTTCATGATGAAACTGTAGGTACCATGTCACCAAGAAACCACAGCTTAAAGTCAATTAGAATACACAAAAATAGTTATACTCCTGATTCTCAGAGCTTCCATATACATCCACTCTTCATCCATCTTTAAAGTTACTGAGTTCATCTCACAGTCAAACTGATCGTGGTACTCCCTCATGCTACAGACAGTTCACCTAAGCTAAGTAAGCCTGGCTCAGCTGCACTGTAAGCAACTTTTTATGTAAAATAAGACTTCCTCTCAGAGTCCAATCTCTGTTACTGGTCAGCATCTTACAACTATAATATCCAGTAGAAAACATTTTCAGCAACTCTCACAGATGTGGCTGAAATGATAGAAAACTAACAAAGAATAGCTCAGAAAAATTAGAAGCCACTTTGCATGTATTAGTTAAGTGCAAGACATGCTGAGTACTTATTAATATTTTAAAATACATAGCTTAGAAATCTGTCCTTTTTACACAAGCCACCATCTTGCCAGTCACTTAGGGCTGTAATAATTTAGTCATCATCAACATGGACTTCCCCAGATCTCTGCTGAATATTAACTCTCCAGTTTACTGACTTGCTCAAATCCATTCCCACATTTAAAGGAGAGAACAGCTTGTTATTCCAGCTGAACCATTACCCATTTAGGTTTTCAGCAGATACAGTAGACAACTTGACTGTTGTCTGTATGATGTTTCATCCACAAAACAGAGTATCAGCACAAAATTTCAAAGAGGTGGTAACTATACTTAACTTCCCCCACACTCCAGACAACCAATACAAGTAGATGCACAAGCATTGATTTCACATTTAAAGTATTGAGCTGTGAACATTTTAAACCACAAGTTTTTTCTTTGTCGTGCATGTTAAATGTGCACTACAAATTACATTAAATTCTCAATGATTACTTTTCCTGAGGCAAAACCACAGACTCACAAGACTTTAACAAAAAGAACAAACACATAATAATAATGTAAGGTGGCTTCAAGAACTTTAAAACCAGTATTACTTTAAAACCATAGTTAGAAGCTTTTCATATGTATACCACTAGCTTAATAAAACACACAACTTCACCATCTTCCAAAAGGTTTCTGTTGTTTGGGCTTTGATATTAGAATACACTAATTTTAAAACACTGCAATGCCCTTAAAGCATAAGAATAACAATTATGAAAATATTTCCAAAAATCTGTTCCAAAAGTCATGAAAAACCTCACTAGAACCCACCACTGCATTCAGTTAAGCTATTTGAGAGCTTAATGTGACAGAACCTTTAGCCTTTTAAAAATAAAAAACTCAGTAGAGACACAGGCATTTGTTTTCATTTCTCCGTTGTCCAAAATATTTGGAACAGAGAGCCATCTTCCTTGAGTAAAACTACAGATACAAATCCGTAATAACATAAATTACAGTATGGTTACCAGAAGTTCAACCTGACAAAAAACATCAGTGCAACTATTCTCAGTTTTTAGCAATTAATGACAGACTAGGAAAACCATAACCAAACGCCTTACCAAGAGAAAAAGAATCATGCCATTGAGTCCAGGATTGAACAGTAAGTTAAACATGAAGAATACTATAACCTAACCAGATATGTACTTTACTTCCATTTAGACTCTGCTATAGTCAAGAACATATTTTGCTCATACCTTTATCCTCAGTCTGAGTCTGAAGATGCAGATTATGCCAGTATTTCCTGACTGGGAGTGTACTGGGAGCATACCTTCCACAAAGACTTCCACATGCATGTCACATGGCTGTTGATCACCAGATTAGATTTACATTGCACTTCAAAGACACTGCTTTAGAAAGAATCTTATTTTTTTAAGTACTAAATGTATGTCTGTTAGCGGACAAAAGGCTGACACTGTCTGTAACATCTAAGCAAGGCCCAAAGTTACTTCACAAGACAGAAACCAGTAGAAAGTATTTTGTAAGGGCTACAATGGCTTAAACCAATTTATGTGGACTAGCATATCTGAATCACAGAACAGGTAACACATTCATAAAAACCCAGCATGTCATTTATTTATTCAAGAGGTCACAGGAACTCTGGCAAGCTACTCTGCAGGATTTGGTCTTTCCCTTATACACAATAATTATACTTGCCATCCTTAATTCAAAAGGCTTAGTTTTTCTACTTTATCACCACAATTCAATGAATGCACTTTTAAAGCTAATTTAATGGTACAAGCACAGTTCACTGTTGAAGTACTTGTAAACCAAGACAAGTGCTCCAAAATTGTTACTCAAAGTTGTTGCACCCAACTTCAGCCATGTCATGCTCACATTAGTCTGCTGTCATACCTCAACCCACAGGAGTTTTAGGGCTTGAACAAGTTCCTCCACTGTTTCACAATGTACATCATGACAAACATGCTCGGCAAGTCAGACACAGACTCACCCTTTTCCAGGCACACGGAGAGCTTTTATATGGGTATAGTAACTCCTACCCTGAATTTTATCCTCAGCAAGTCACATTAAATCTACACTTCCTGAAGTATCTGCTCTAGAAAACCTCAGAAGGCCAGAAACTGGGTGCTCTTCTGTCATGCAAGCTTCTGATCTATCATTGATATCAATTGACTCACAAACATGAAATTCAGCTCTCACCCCTGGAAACTATACAGAGGTCAGAATGGAATTTAAAATTACTTTCTTGTGCCCTAAAAAGTTATCTTCTTCTCTGAAACACAACACATAACCCAAAAACCAATAAAAGAACCACATTCCCGAAACCTTCAAATTATTAGTTAGTCAAATTATTAGTTAATAGATCTGAAGCTGGTAAATACACTTAGTTAAGAGCCACTACAAATGTATTATTTTTTTCTTTATTTCTTTTTTCTTTTCATCCTTTCTATGCTTTATTCCCCCATATAACTGATGGTTTCAGATAAGTAAAATTAAAATGGTATTGTTTAACCCATTAAACAGTTACACCATGCAAATATCTATTAAACACTCACTGAAGATAAAAATTTAACACTCACATGTTCATCCCCAAGGCCAAGCAGCTGGCAAGTAAAAACTCTTCCTTGACTTGCATGTTTTTTATTAGATTAAGCCACCATTAACTACTGCTGAAATACAATTCTATTTCTTAAATCCAGCAGGTTACAAAGTGACTTATAGCCCACCTAGCTCTAACATGCAACAGCAGAAATTCACCAATTAAGTCTAAAAGGTTTCATTACGACAGAAAAGTTCTTTTTTCAGGAGCCAGCTTTTTAAAATAGCAAAAGGAGGATGCTCTGCATAAAAGCCAAACATTTTAAGATTGTTTAATATTTAGGACCTGCTGTTCAATATTTTTGTCCCCGATTTTTTGACAAAAAAATCACACCAGAAACTTTGCTTTATATTTTTATTGTATGCCAAAGTTCATTAAAGAATGAGTGTTTGCTTGTATAGAAGTTACTCAAAAAATGTGTCTAGGCAGAAATTTGTTAGCAATCTGACTGATTTCAAAGCATAGGTTTGTTCAATTGGGTCACAAAAATAATAGTGTACAAGCAGTAATTAAGGAGCCGTAGATTCAAGGAGTTTCCAAATATCACAGATCTTGACATCTCATCAGGAAATAATCAAGGCAGTCACAATATAAAACAGCAGCTCCGTGTAGCTTTTTCAAGTTTCAATTTTATTCAGGAGGTGACAGTTCAGTTTGCCTCATTCTTTGAAGCTTCATCGAAGTTTTCAACAAGATCTAGAAAAAGATTGTTGGAATTAAAGTTTGTTCCACTTCCCCTTTGCTGAGCATTCTGGGTTTTAATTTTTTTCTGAAGTCTTACTTCATACCAATTTTTTACACCATAAAAACTTTCAGCTTGTAAAATACAGAGCAAATATTGCTCAACCAAAGAAATTTTGGACAGTTCATTAAAAAAGCACAATTCTAAAAGCATTTAACTTCACTGTACAACTGGCAGTGATTCTGACAAGGTAGTTTCTCATGAAATATTAGATAATGATCTCAGTAGTAGCTATCACTTCAACACAGGACCAAAATGCTAGCTCAAACTGCGAAGTCTCTCGTGGTATTTGAAATTAATAAAATAATCCACCCACAGAAATTCTGTAACAGTAAGTCACTAGACATCACTCTTACTATCCTTGGTCTGCTCTTATGCTATGTGTAATCTCAGCAGAATTCACTTCCTTTTCCTCCACTGCATGTTTGTTCTTACCTGGAACTTCATCGTCATCGTCTTCACCAGTAGCAAGTGGTGCTTTTCCATCCACAGCTGCAAGAGCAAATAGTTCAAAAGCTTAATTCAAGGTCACCATAGGCGTTTTGTTTTATTGTTTAGCTTTGTGTTTTTTAAAACATTATCAAAGATTCTAGGCTAAGCTACAATGCTCTATCCAGTTCTGTAAATAAAATTCTTTATCTAATGCAGGAAGTTTACATTCCCTTTTTACTGATAATGCTCAAACAGTCGAGTAGTAAAATTAAAAGATGCATGCTAAACAGCATACTAGTCACCATCTTGAGTGCTCTGCACAACAAAAATTTCCAAATACAAGTGGAGATTGATTTTACCAGTTTTTCCTAAAAGTAGGTTAGTTTATGGACTACCACATGGCTCTTAAATTTACTAATTTTACATCACCAAGTTTTAATGACTAGAAGAGATCTTATCCTACACATCCAAGGAAAGATAAGGTGTAATTGTGAAGTTGCAGGAAGACACAACTAGAAGAAGTACTTAAAAGCTATTACTGTTCCCTGGCAAAGCTAGAGGAATATGGAACTGGATGCACAGTTTTAAACTCCTTAGGTGGTTGAGGTGACCTAGTGTTCTGATCCACATGTTTGTTGACTCAGTAATTTCTTTAACCGGAATGTTGCAGTTGACAGAGGTAGTGAGACTTAACCACCTCCATTGTAGCAGACCAGCGCGCATCTGCTGAACTGAGCAGAAGTATAATTGTTAAAAACAGGTTATCTCAAGTGTCTGGGTGCCTGTGCCACTACTCTACAACTATTCTTAGCTGTATTGTCAAGTTGTCTCTTACTGTCTACTACCATAGCTTTACTCCAATCAATCCTTCTCAGTTTTTAAAAAAATGTGTGAGGGAAAAGATGGGTTCTTACTAGATCGGTACATTCATTTCTAGAGAATCAGAACCGCCATATCAACTTTGTTTTGAAAGGACTTGGGACAAGGATATCACTGACCTTCATTTGTTATTTTAAGCAGCAGAAAATTGTTTAAGCTCAAGAGCATCTCAGCATTAAAAACAACATTTGAAAAGCAAACCATGTCATTTATCCTAAATTTACCACATTCTCTTTCATCCCCAATCACAGGTGCTTCACTCACTGATGTTAGGCTTCCAAATCTAGCCGACAATACTGAATAGAAAGTTTTGTGCATCTAGTTCTGGCATCCACTCTTAACTCTACATCCACTCTAAAACTCCACAATTGAGCTTAGAGTATAACCTCTTATAACTAGTTTCTCATTGTTACGAGAAAACTGAACTTCAGCAATCGTTCTAAATCCTTCCAAGTACTCTTTTCTTTCAAGCCCTACTAATATCACAAGTCACACAGGTGACATTAGAAAAAAGGATTTGAGGATCATGATAAAAAATAATTTATCCCACATCTTGAGGACTACTTCTAGCAAATTTTTTTCATTAGTAAATTGCCAGGAGGGTAGCATAAATTTTAAGAATGTAAACAGAGGCTGCTTTGTTGGCAACAAAGCAGATGGAGAATCATAAATTAACAATCAAAATTAGAACTGCCAAAGACTGGACACAATGATCTAATTTTTTCCATCTTTAGACTGTTCCCTATGTTTAAAGGAATGGGCTTAAGATATTTCAGAAGGTAGAAGACTGTACATGCAGGACACAAGGAATGTTCCCTTTGCCAACAAGTCTTTCACTCCCAGGTGATAAAGGTAGCAGCAGCACCTTTATCAAACACTACATACTTAAGTCCCTCCTATGCTCTTCCCAGTTTTAGAAGGAACAAATGTTCATACTTTTTTACGTATGGAATAGGAAGCTGGTGTATCTAGCTTAATGCTCATATCAGCCCTGTTCTCTACATTGTTTTACACATACTGAAATTAAAATGTACTTCCTTATAAATACCCTGTAATTTCTTCCTAGTTACCAAAAAGTCCATGGAGAAATACCTTCACCAGACCTGTGAGGGACAAGAGCAATTGCAAGATATCTGTTATATCCCTCTCCCCATTACTTATATTTCCATTCAAAGTGTCAAGAGATACACTCAAGCTTATCCTTCTTTAAAACCTAACACTTACAGAGTAATTAATCCACCCTGCTATAATGAACAAGATATGTCAAAATATGGCAGCCACATCGAGAAGCAAAGTACCAAAAAATCAAGTCTGTCTACAGTTTTCCAGTGCTAACCCAGCTGTAAGACACACTAACAGGTGACTTCGCTTTACTGAGTCATACTTGCCATTGGGTATTGAGCTATAAATAAAATTGATTTTAAAGAGTTTGGTTTCTTTATAAGCATTTTATAACACGCTTGCAGACAACAAGAGTGCACGGAATGTCACTGCTGCTACAGAAATAAGCCTCATGTCAGCTGCCAGCATGAAACACATTCAACTTTCAACCTACATTGTTTGGGTAGGGCTTCTGCCAATCTCCTGAGGCTGGTCAGACTGTCAGCTCCGAGCTGGTTTAGGATGCTAGGCAGCATTTCTGTCAGCTGTTTTGTCTCAGCATGGCCCGTGATAGTGAAAGTATTAGCAGCCAGAGATGTGCAACTTCACTTTGGGGTTATTGATAGTGAATGACTTGTTCCTTGTCTGGTGTAAAACATGTTTACCTGCAAAGGAAAAAAAAAAAAAAAAAAAATCCTCCCAGTATTTGATGTCAGCGTCTTCTTAACAGGATTTTTTCAATTTAACAGGAAATTAAAATTCTTAAAGCTCCAGGAAGGCCTATTGATAATTTACAGACAAGTTTAGGACCTATGTTACTTACCAGAAAATTGATTTAAACAAATTTGCCATTTAAATATATATTCTTTTTCCTTCAAAGCAATTACCTCTTCAATTCCAGAAATATTGTTGACTCCCAGTTTCTTCAACGAAAACTGAAGTTTTTTATCATCTGTTGTAGCTGTTCTGTGAACAACCTTCTTCTTTCTGCGGGCAGTACCCTTAGCAAAAAAAAAAAAAAAAATTACTAGGTAAAGCTTAAGTAGTTCTCACAAACTCTAATCCAAAGGGCTGTGTAACTACTTTACAATCTCTACAAATCAAATGCTGCAACAGTGTTTCAGTGCATGTAATCCTGATCCCCAAATGCACTGCAGCAGTCTTTCTCTCGCACTAAGGCAAGATTTGCACATGTAGGAGAAGCAAAAGGGTTTAGGAAGCAATGCTATCAGAGAATATTTATTCCACAAATGTCATGGTTTACTGCAACATCTTAGAAAAGGGAAGTTGCAAATTCACCCTTGTTAACCCAAGTCATCACAAGACATAAAACTGAAGAATGAACAGTTTCAAGCAATTTCCAGAAGTTATTAGTTTTTCCTTAGATTATCTTTCTTATGTAGCCAAATTTTGGTAAAAGTCAGAGGCCATAAGGCTATGAACACATCATTAACAAATTAATATGAGAAATGTCAAAATACTACATTTTTTATTCTAAATAGCCATATTTTATCTGATCGACTTATATATTTGAAGAATGCCTACTTTCCAAAATATTTCATAAATACATTTTTAATAATACTTCTGTTCTAGACCAACACTGTTTAGAAACCAAACAAGCAAAGTTAAGTTGTCCTACAGACCCAGAGTTCTAGATTTCTCCAGGTAAGTAAATGTCCCACATTAGAGTATATCCATTGATATGAAAAAGCAGAAAATGTCATTCTCCAGTTGCTTACACAAGGGTTCAGGAAAATATGACATAAAATGTCTGTAAAAAAGTGAAACTAAGCTACTTTTTGACATAATGTAACAATGAATCTAAGTCCTCCCACTCCAGCTGCTTATCTACCACCTGCTAATAACAGCATGTGTTGCTGCCTAGCCTAGATAGCTGCAATTCCTTTTCAGTTTACCGTCAGAAGTTTCAAAGTTGGTTGAAGTAACAACTCCAAAATAATTCTGTTGCCAACAATGAGGAAAATAAGTAACAAATTCATATGAAACTAACACTTGGAACACTACCACTCAAACTTTTAGGTTTCTGCCTAGAAAACTTGATGTTCACACCCTGCTACTGTTGTGTTAGCACACACAGTGGCTTGGAAACTACTAAAAGTAATAGAAATGCTTTATTTCTGTGCCTTGTTTACCCAAAACTGAGTTAGATAAGACATATACTAAATCCTCTGGACAACAAAATTCTCAGTACATTTCAGAACATGACGTCTTGAATCAAGGAATATGGAGGAATATGTACCTCCTTCACACCCATCTCATGGCAACAATGCAATGAAGATATCAGGAATAATTTCCCATTATAAAAAAATAATATGGCAGGTTCAGACCAATTTTAAAATTAAATGAACATTCTAACCTTTGCTTAATGTCTATAAAAGACCTATATTGACCAGCAAGCTGCAAGAACTGTAATCTGAATGCATGCTCTCACATGATGTACATTAAAAACCTCTACAGTCAATAAACACACACTGGTTAACATGCATACAATCAGTAATATAATACAGGAGTTCTCTAATTAACCATTAACATATTCCAAGAATATGCAAAAATTACCAAGGTAGCTAATGACTACATATACCGTGTTTTAAGGCTGCCCGAATCTCCAGCAAATGACAAAAAGAAAAAAAAAAACAAACACTGGAATGAAAGCTCCTGGAAACTCTGTCAGCAAGAGTTCTGTTGAATAATTTGTAATCTAGAACACTGTGTATAGTCCCTCAAGTATGAAAGATTCTGAAATATTCCTGAATTAAGACTGTAATTAACATGTTTACTGTCATATGACTATATTAAACATACTTTTCTCACCCTAAAAGTAAACACACAACACAAATACAGATATTCGGATGTAACAAAATAAAATTTTTCTGAGTATATTAGTCTGCAATTACGGAAGTATGACAAGTATAGAATTTTCAACTTTGTGCAGAAAGGCAAAAAACTGCCTTGAGCACCCTAAGTATTTCTGACAAGTCAGTAACATAAGATCGCTAAAATCTGTTATGAAAACTATACCCAACCTCACCTGCTGTAAGGTATACTCACTTCAAATCCCACACATATTCTAAAACAGGCCACAGAATTAGCATGGGATGGCTGCAAGAGGAGTACAACAACCGACCATCTACTTCCAACCCTCCTGCTATGGGCAGAGACACCTCTAACTAGACCAGGTTACTCAAGAGTCCCATCCTATCTAGCCCTTAACACTCCCACAGATATGGGAGCCTCGCTGGGCAACCTGTTCCAGTGCCTGACCAGCCTCACAGTAAAGAATTTTTTCTAATATCCAACCTAAACCTATTTTCACGTTAAACCCATTCCCCCTTGACATGCTACTACATGATCTTGTAGTCTTGATGCATCTTTCCTGTCGGCTCTCTCCAGGTACTAGGATGCCACAATAGGCCCCAATGCCTCCTCTTTTGCAGGCTGACCAATCCCAGTTCTCTCAGACCGCTCTAACAGGAGAGGAGCTCCAGCCCTCTAATCAACTTGCTGTCCCTTCTCTGGACGTGCTCCAAAATCTCCATGCCCTTCCCATGCTGGGACCCCAGAGCTGATGCAGCACTGCAGTGGGCTCTCAGCAGAGCAGAGCAGAGGGGCAGAATCCCCTCCCTGGCCCTGCTGCCCACCCTGCTCTGGATGCAGCCCAGGACACGTGTGGCTCTCTGGGCTGGCAGTGCCCATGGCTGGGTCATGTCCAGCCTCTCATCCCCCAGCACCCCCAAGTCCTCCTGGGCAGGGTTGCTCTCCATCTCTTCATCTCCAACCTGTGCTGGCACTTGGCACCAGGGCTGCCCTGACCCAGCTGCAGCACCTTGCACCTTACCTTGCTGATGATGAGATCCCCATTCACCCCAATATAGAACATTAAGTCTGCTGTAACAAAACGTACACAGAGATTCAGCTACTACATACTGCACCTACAAAAGAGATTTCAGGGGGCCCTGGAGGAGCACAGATTCCCTTGAGAACAGCCCAGCAAAGCTGAGAGCACTCAGGGCTGCTCCACACAGCCGTTTCCAGGACCCCTTGCGCCAGGCCCGACAGGGACGCGCAATCCCGACGGCAGCGCAGGGCGGCGGCTCCTACCTTGCCTCCGATGCGCACTTGGGCCTGAAGCTTGGCCAGCTTCTCCTGGTTCATGATGGTCTCCTTCATCTGCGGAAAGAAGAGCGCCCGGAGCAGGCGGGCACGGAGCACAGGTGGGCACCGGGGGCTCCGCAGCCGCCCCCCACCCGCGTCCCCGCGGCACGCAGGCAGCCCCGCCCCGCCACAGCACCGGGACGGGCTCAGATCGCGCCGAGCCTCCCTGCAGGCCCAGCCCGAAAGCACCGTCCCTTTCTCCAAGCACCACCGCCGCCCCCGGCCGAGTCCCGCTCCCCCGCCGCCCCGGTACCTCGGCGGGCGGAGCGGCGGGACGCGGGCCGGGATCCGCACGCGGGCACGGCGAGATGGCGGCCGGAAGGAAGGAAGGAAGGAAGGAAGGAGCTGCGGCCGGCCGCGCCTGCGCCGCGCCGCGCCCGGCAGGGGGCGCCCCGGGCGGGCCGCGGGGCGGGCTGGGCGGGGAAAGGGCTGCGGGGCGGTGAGTCCGCGCCTCAGCCGGACCAATGGCGCCCAGCGCTGCGGCCAGTCTTTCCTCAGACAGCTTCACGGATAGTGACTCCAGCATCTCCCTGGGGAGCCCACTTTAATATCTTGTTACCCTTTCTGTGAAATTCCTCTTGATGTAGACCCTCCTCTTGCTGCTCCTCCTTTCAGGTAATTGTAGAGACCTCTCATCCTCCTCCAGGCTAAACAACCCCAGCTCCCGCGGCTCTTCCCTGTAGGACTTGTTCTCCAGACCGTTTACCGGCTTTGTTTACTGCCTCGAGTCTCTGCGGCACCTCAGTGTCCTCCTCCTGTCAAGGGCCAAGGACTGGACACAGCACTGGAGATGCAGCCTTATCAGTGCCAAGTGCAGGGGGACAATCACTGCCCTGGCCCTGCTGGCCACACTATTGCTGATCCAGGCCAGGATGCCATTTCCCTTCTCGGCCACCTGGACACATGCTGGCTCAGGTTTGGATCAGCACCCCCAGGGCCTTTTCCTGTGGGCAGCTTTGCAGCCGCTCTGCCCCAGCCTGTGGCACTGCCTGGGGTTGTTGCAATGAAGGGCAGGACCAGCACTCACCATGTCTGCCCTCACCACACCTCAGATTGATTACCATGCCTTTCTCACTTTGCTGCTATCTTACCCACACAGCCACGTGCAGCCTTGCCAAGAAAGTTCCCCACCACAGGTGTGACATACATGGTCTGGCATCACAGGGTCACAGAACCATTGGGGTTGGAAGGGACCTCTGGAGATCATCCAGTCCAACACCCCTGCGAAGTCAGGGTCGTCCAGAGCAGGTGACACAGAAACATACCCAGGTAGGTTTTCAACAGTTCCAGAGAAAGACACTCTACAACCTCCCTGGGCAGCCTGTTCTAGTGCTCAGCCAGTGCTCAGCCACCCTCAACATAAAGAAGTTATCCCTCACGTTGGGGTGGAATTTCTTGTGTTTTAACTTATGGCCATTGCTCCTCATCCTGTCACTGCATATGACTGAAATGAGTCTGGCAGCATCCTCTTGACACCTGCCTTTGAGACATTTATGCATATTGACAAGATCCCTTCTTAGTCTTCTCTAGACTAAAGAGGCTAGCTCCCACAGTCTGTCATAAGAGAGACGCCCCAGCAATTGTGCTTGTGTGGCTGGACCCCCTCCAGCAGTTCCTTGTCTTTCTTGTACTGAGGAGTCCAGAACTGGACATGGTAGTCCAGATGTGGCCTCACTAATAATGTGTTTATTATTTTTCATGCTAGAAAACATGTGAGCATTATGTTTCTTTCTGCCTTTTGTAGTGCAGGCCCCCTCTCAAAGCCCATGGCTGTGCTTCTCCCTGCTGTCCCCAGCAACTCGCCTTCTTCCTCCCAAGCTGGCCAGTGCAGAGCTCTGTGGTGGGACCCCTTAAGTGAACCAACCCCCAATGACCCCAGCTGCCCCTGCCCAGCCAAACTACTGTTACACCACTGCCTGTGTAAAAGTCCTTGTTCTTTTTATTTCTTCCACCTTGTGTGTTTTTCACTGTGGCTTTTCCTCCTCTGTTATGTTATTGTAATTTATAAGCTACTCACATGTGGCTGCTTGCTGCTGGTCACTGGATACCGTCTGTGTGCCCTTGCTGGATCCCTCAGAGATGTTCCCCTGTAGCCATGTTTTCCCTCACTGAGGCCTTAATCTACCCTTTTTATGTTTTGCCAGTCTTTGCATTTTCCACAAAGTGTCCTGTTCCGAGAGCCAAATACGCACAATCACCCAGGCCCTAACTCACACAGTTGCTGCTGCCTTTGAGTATATGTAAACCTTGTTCCTCAGTTTGCAGTTCTGAGGCAGAGATCATTCACAGTCTACAATTTCTGTCCCCCACAAGTTTGCCAATGTGTTTGAGTTTACTCTGACGAGTGTGACTAATCTAACAGCCATGGGGAACGCACATTTCTGGCTCCAACAGAAGGCAAAGCAGTCGTTGCAGGAGCTGTGTTGCACAGCAGAGGGCAGGAGCAGATTTACAGGGGAAGAAGCTTGGCATTCTCATCAATGCTCCAAGTGCTCACAGAGTGATGCAAGACAGGAGGAGCCTTGTTGCTTCATGGTCCCAATCACCACCTTAATGAACCTGATGAGCCTCCTGGCACCAGTAGAAATACTGCTGACCTTGCCTTTCCCCCTGTATTTTTATGCCTTTTATACTGGTTCTTCTCTGGAACATCCTCAGTTAACTATTCTCTTTGGTCTTGTTTCTGTAAGACTATGTTAATAATTAATCTATCCTTCTTTATTCATTAACATTGTCTCCCTTGTTAGTAATCCCCAGAGCCAAGGTTTTGCCATGGCACTACTTTTTATGTCTGTACATTTAGTTTGCTCTTACATTATCTTTACACTACATCAGAGCTGAGTGATAATTTGTACAAAATATATTGATCCTGTTAAAATCAAGACCTTTGTAATTAGTGAAAATTAATTATGATCCCAAGATGCCTCCATCTGGAAGCGATAGAAATTCTCAGGGAGATGATGATTCAAAAGGCGCTGCTGAAGAGCAGCAGCCTCTGTGCTTCCCACCAGGTGAATCACAGATGAAAATTAGGGGATGATCAAACAACTGTGAAAGATGTTTGATCATCCCCTCCAAAAATTTGGTCCACTGTATCTGGAAAATTTGAACAGTGAATTAGTTTGTGGGGAAAAGATGTCGGGGAAGCCCATATTATTTATCTGATCTAGCAACCCCAGTATATAACTCAGAAGGAGGGAAAAAAGCAGGAGAAGAGGGTGATTAGGGAAGACAGAGTTTCTTAGAAACTAAAAAGAAAGCTTATAAATGTATTGCAGGATGAAACTGCCAATGTACCTGCAGCAAAATTGAAGAGAGCTGAGATAAAAAAACACAGAACAAACCTGAGTCACTGAAACTACTGAAAGTAAAAATCAATATGCTTCAGACTTATCACAGTCTGCCATCAATATATGTGAAACATTCTAGAATTGCTAGGCCAAATCGTGATTACAATCAGGTAAAGTATTTTATTAGACTAAAATACCGAAGTGAAAGTGAATCACAGATTATTCCAAGATAGAAACTGTAGAAAATACTGTTACAGCTGGCATTTTAGGATCAACTGGTCAAGAGATATGATCTCATATGCCCTCATGTGAGATTTTTGAAGACAAACTATGATGAAAACCACATCTCTGAGTTGTATCAGGACTCAGCTGAAGTGATTCAAAAGTTCAAGGGGCTCTAACATTTGGTTATATTTCATGGATCAAACAGGAGACCTTCAAAAAACAAACTTTACATCTGAGAAAAAGTATTTTAGCATGCTAAAATAGTATTGGCTTGTTTTCTTCAGTTGTTCTTTTGTAATTCCATAACGGAAAACATAAACCTAAACCTGTATTTCTTTGTAGCTGAAGAACTTATATTGAGAAATGAAGCAGCTCCAAGGGCTGTACCGCTGAGAGGGACCCTGAGCTCAGTAGCACCTTTTCAGTTCTGAAAAAGGGTGAAAGTCATGACCTCAAAAACATTAAAGAATATACATTGCTAAAGGAAAGTTAATTAGCTACACAGAAACAGTATAGGAGTGGAGGAAGAGCATTAAAATGGTTACTTGGAAATTTTTTTTCATAAATTATATGGAAGTTTAAAGGCAGAAATGGGAGTGGAAAAGCTCTTCTAAAAGTCATGGCCAATGCTGCATAAGTAATAACACGGCTTGTTGAAGAGAGGTGCTAGTATCATATTGAGGGAACTGATCACAGATCATAAACATAAGTGATCAGGTTATAGTGAAATAATATTTGTCTTGATTATCAGAAGCAAGGGGGAAAAATGTAGTTTTAGGCAGTGAAGAAAATCTGATAGTTAAAATTTCATTTGGAAACATTTTTTTCAGAAGCTGTATTTAACTGCAGGACATAAGGGGAAAAGCAATAAGTAATTTTGAAAATACCCATGTGTGTTAGCAATTCAACAGAAGAAAATAGCAGCATTATGGAGTAGAGAACCAAAAATGTTGAGAGAGAGAGATTAATGGAAAATAAACCATCTCCAGATATTTAGACTTTAGATTTACTGAAGAATTAGAAACTTATTAAGGGATATAAAATATATAAACTTTGATAGGAGCCCGGAAAGATTCAGCTTGAGTCTGGTGCTGTTTTCATCTCATGTATTACCATGTTGTATCATGTGCCACAGAGTTGATCTGTGATAGACTTTAGTGTCAAGGAAGAGATATTGCTGCCCAGCAAACAGCGTCCTTGTCTCGCCATAACTGTAGCTTTTAAACTCAACAACCCAAAATACCCAGGCTTCAAGCCATATCACAAGCTTTTTGTGACCTCCAGGATGTCTCTCTCTGTAACACCCTGCAGAGTCCTACTGGAGCGCAGTTGGAGTAATGCTACATCAAGGATCTCCTGCCTTCACTGTACATGGTTCAAACAGGCTTTGCAGGATGTTTGGGAATTCAAGTTAATAAGACTGCTAAAAGCTCATCAAGAAAGGCTTGCCTGTTAGTTTTAGTCAATAGCAAATACCTTGCTAGAAAATAAGTAAGAGGTAGAAGTCACTACATCCCTTACTGGCTAGGAGTGAAAAAGGTGATACCTTAAATTTATGCATGGATGTTAGGGATTTAGACAAACTGTTTATTCCTAAAAGCATCTTATACATAGAATTCTAGAGGACTTGAATTCTTCAGGCCATGATCACAGAAATATTTTGACCTCTGCTAAGACAGTCTTTGTATTGTCTTTAAACAATTAACACCAGTCAAAACATTGTTGAGACAACATGATGCAACATCAACAAGTAAATATGTAATGTATCACATTTAGTCCAGGATGAATCAGGACTAAGTTTGGCCCACTTTAGGAGTGTAGGTACCATCATGCTACCTTTGACTAATGCCTTGGCTGCTGCAAATTTTTTATTCATTCTGGATTTGACTTCTTTGATTTTCTAGACGTCTTGGTCCAGCTGGTGCTCGGCAGGAGGTAAGTGGTGAGCATACATGGCAAGAGGTGGAAAGGCTGAACAAGGCAAGGGCCTTCATCTGTCTGCAACAGCTGGCTGCTATTTCTGCTCAAGTCCTGGCAGGAACCCATTACCCACTAAGTTCTAGATGGAAAAACTGATCTTCTTTTTCTTTGATCACAATACAGCTTATCTCCAAGGATTTCTAATTGAACAAAGAATACACCTGCCAATATTCACTGCATTTATGAATGAGTTTGTACTCTTCAGGGGCTTACTTCCATTTCTACAGAATTAAATGGAAAATATCACAAATTAGTTGAGACATTAATTATGGGATCTCCCTCCTAGTTTGCTAAAGCTTGTTTACAACAAACAAATAAGGGCTTATGTGGAAAATGGTAGAAAGGTTTTCAATAGTTGGTGAAGTTATGAAATTGAAGGTAATTTAAACAAGCATGACTCATTAATGTGAAAAGTACTCTGCCAAATCAGCTCTGGCAGCCAGTGCTTCATTTTGTCACAGGCTACTAAATTCAGGTATTATCTCTGCTTTAAAACAAATAGTTTGAAACCTAGATTTCTGACATCTAGGTATCGATTTTACGCACTTGTTTTTTCTATATTCTTCCCTAAATATCTGGTCTTAGCTGACGTTGAAGTCAGTTTATGTTGCTAGGTAAGTCTTGGTCTAACCTAGTAAAAATACTTCTTAGTATCATAACATCATGAGAACATTAAATCACATTTTACAGAAATTAAAGCCCAAAGGACCTTAAGGAAGTGACTTTCACTTCTCAGAATAAATATACATGCTGCACAAGAATTATAGAACAAGGAGGGGGAAAACCCAAATCAACCAAACCAACAAACAAACAAAAAAAAACCTGACAAAATCCAACCCAACCAAACTAATAATCCAAACCAACTTGGTCAAGAAGAAAAAAATGTTTGACAAGAGTAGAGGGGAGATCACCTCCAAGGATGGTAAACCCTTTTTCAGCAGTAGACATGGCTGGAACCCCAGATTTTTCTTCAGTTTTTCAGGTAACTGCTGCCAACCTTCTTCGATGCATTGTGATCCTACAGGCATTGTAATCCCAGCCTCTGCAGAAGGCTTAAAGATAGTGTTACCTTCCCCAAAACTACATGGCGAGAGTAGAGGAAAATAAACATCCTGAAAAGTGGAGATAAAATGGCAGTCACTGTTATACTGGGCAAAGAAGAGCACAGCCATCACTGTCACTATTATTGTCTCTGTCATGGACACCACCATCCTTTTGCAAGGTCATTGCTGGAGCATTTATTTGTTCTATGACACAAGCAGCTCAGAATTCCACCCAGTCTTTGACCCAAGACAAAACATTCACAGAAAATGTCAATTATTCAAGAAATTGTTCTATACATTAAGAAAAAGTCCAGTTCTGCAGCTCCAGAAAACTCAGAGCACCTCAGCCAGTGTGCCACTGTGGCTACTTGAAAATGCCCTACATAGTGCCCAGGGTAATCCTCAATTTTTAGTAAGGGCCTGGGGTGCACTGATAAAATGTGGATGTTCTGTATATGCATACAGGAATTGTGAATTGTGTGTATAATATATAACAAAAAAATACAATTCATAATAATTTAAAATTTATGATTAATTTTAATATGCCCAAACAAAAACAAACCCTCTGTGGGTAACTGTATTTCTGATGCTACTTCTGTACAACCGTGGTTTTAGGTGCATGATATATCAGATCATTCAAAACTATCAGGAAACCCTAGAAGACAGCCCCCAAGACCCTGGGTCAGGGGTGGTCATTTGGTGGCTGGGTGTGTGGGCAGAGAGCCCCGTCACGGAGCTGGTAAGGGGGTCCAGGAAGTTCCAGCCGTTTCGCGGAGTGGCTCCAAACTCTTCTTTTCTTTAGGGTCTCAGACGCTGAGCGAGGGATACCTGCCCGACCCTGCCTTTCTCGGGGGCTGCTTTGGGCAGTGAGGCCACGCCGGGCCCCTGCCCCCGCACACGGCCGCCCACCGCCGGTGCTCCTTGCCGGTAGATGGCATCCCCCGTCCGCGCAAAGCAATGCCCGGAGCGGAGCGGCACTGACCGCGAGGTGGGGGACCCGGCAAAGCCCGCGGCCCCGCCGCTGCCCGGATTTTACCAAGGGAAATGCCACCCCCCCCGCCGCCACCCAGACCGGCCACGTCCAGAAAGACCCGCACCCCAGCCGAGGGTCCCGGAACTCGGTGCTGTGAAGAGCCGCCGGTGTCACACGCGCAGTGAAAGACCCGTGCGTTCTGCTAGAGGAGGATCGAGGGCAGACCCTGGCTCTTTTGGTTTGTCGCTACAGTGCTTCTTCCCCGTGCATTTTTAAACTTCACCGTTCTTCATACTTAGGAGCATGATTTTTTAAAGACGGTTTTAAACGTTCAGGCTGGGAGAAGAGAAAGAATAAAAGGAGAGGAAAAGGAAGCAGAGAGCTAAAATACTCTTTGTAAAGACGAGAAGCCTCTTGAAGACGAAAAATCCTGTCTACCTTTCTGTTAGCGGCTTTCCAACGACCTTAAAACTAATTCGAAGAGAGACTTTACGAACTGTATGAACTGTAAATCTGAGTGATATCTATTTTTCTACAGAAAAAAAAAAAAAAAAACAAAAAAAAAAAAAAAAAACCAGTCATTTGCTGGGTCTAGAGGGTTTGGGTTTTTTGGGTTTTTTTCTTTTTTTCCCCCCCCGTTTTGTAACTTTTGGTGGTATTGTTTTGCAGGCGCCTTAGTAGTGAACAAAATGTAAATAGGATTATTTGGAAATAGTAGAAAGGATTATGTTGTAAATCCATGGAACTGGGTTTGAAACAGGGTGGCTTGTAGCTTTGGGTTAGAACAGTAAATCGGGAACGTATTTCAAGAAATTTGGTGTGTAGGGTTTTTGCAAAGCGATATTTGATCAATGAGACTTTATGCATCAGTCTGCCTTCTCACGACGATTTCTGCCTAAGAACGAAATGCTCCTTTACTCTTGTCCCAGTCGGATCCTGGTTGCCGTTTATCCTGCCAGAACTGGGAACGATGGGATTTTTTAAAGCCTTTATTTTTAAGACCATGGTAATTACATTTCTGTCCAAATTTGTAGGAGTTTTATTTTGTTTGGGTTCTTTGGTGGAGTTTTTGTCTCTTCTTTTTTTCCCAGCCCTTACATAAAGGGGGCCCCGGTCTTCTGTCGTATCATAGATCACCTGAAAAGGGGAAGAGTGCCCCTGAATTAGCAAGCAATCCTCTGTCGCTTTCTCAGGGGTGTTGCTCCTACTTAAAGCGAAAGTCCCATTCTAAAGGCCAATGAATTTATTTGCTTTATGTACAAAGGAGGTAACGCTAGTTCTGTTAGTGTTTCTCATAATGGAGGGAGCTGCTTCTTTCTCTTTAATAACCATGGCCTTACAATTAAACTGAGAATAGTGGTGTGTTTTGGAGGCTATTATTTTAGAGTTTGTGAGGTCGACAGAAAGAGATATTTTATTTCATTCTAAAGTAAATTAAACTCTGGAGGGTGATGGGGAGAGGTAGGGAAGGATGTCTTTCAAGCATTTTGCGGACAGAAGACTGAAGTTTATTAACTCACCCTCTCCATCTCCGGTTTGATTTTATTTTTTCCCCATCCTTCCCACGGGAAGCAGCACCCCGTCTCTGAGGGCAACCCCGGAAGGTGCAAAGCTCCTAGACCCTCCGGAGGATTTCTGGGAAGATGCTTCTACACTTTGCGACAGACTTGCACTTTTTTCTTTTGTTCTTTTTTAATTTTTTTTTCCCGCAGGGAGGTCAAGTGTTATCTTTATTTTCCCCCTTTTCCACTAAATATGGCACCGGTCTCCCTGCGGCCCCCCCAGTGCTCCTTCTGGATGGGGTGAGGCCGGGAGGGCCTGGTCTGTGGCGAGGCACCCTTCTTGGGGCGGGGGGGGGGGAAAGACTCTCCAGGTTCTGACGCTGGGAGCCATGTGATGGCCCCCTCGCTATAAGGCGGGGAGGAAGGCTGCCCTCCCTGGGAGTAAGCCCCAGCCTTTTCACCGTGTTTCCTAAGGCCCAGCAAGCCATCCCCTACGCCCTCCCTCCTCGCCAGCCTCCTCCCCTCTCCTCCTCCCAGGACTAGGCGCGCTCCCTCCTGCCCCGCATCCATTAATGTCTGGGGGCTGAGGTGAGGAGAAAGAGGGGGAAACCGACTTCAGGAGAGACGGCACAACCTCCCTGCGCCCACAATAACCGATCCCAACCGAAAGAAAAACGAAAAAGATCCCCAAGAGGGGGAAGGGAGGGGGGAAAAAAAAGAGAGAAATCCAAACGGCAGCAAAAAATACCCCGAAACAAAACCCTGACCAGCCGGCGCCTCCGAGCGGGCGGCGGGAGCGCTCCAGAGGCGCGGCAGCGGCGCTGGGGGCCGGCGCGGCTCGGAGCGGCCCGCCTGCCCGTGGCGGCGGTGGGGCGGCTCTCCGCGGAGCGGCGCGGAGGCCTGGCGGCGGCGGGGAAAGCTCCCGCTCGCCCGCCGCGCCGCGCCGGCCGCCGCCGATGCGCTGCCTCGCCGCCGCGCCATGACCTTTAGCTCGGAGATGTCCGAGGCATCGACGCTGGCTGAAGAGACCGACATCGATGTGGTGGGCGAGGAAGACGACGAGGAGGACGACGAGGAGCCACGGACCCGCCGCCGCCGCTCCTACGCCGAGGACGAGGAGGAGGACGAGGACGACGACGAGGAGGACGACGACGAGGATGTGGGCGACCTCCACGCCGCCGCCCTGCTGCCGCGGTCGCCCGTGCACGGCGGAGGCGTAGGTGGCGGCGGCGGCGGGGCGGGCGGCGGGGACGCTGCCGGTGGCTCTCGGCCCCCCTCGCGAGGTGGCCCGCAGAAGGCGACGGCGGGCGGTGGCGGGGCAGGCGGCGGTGGCGGCGGCGGGGCGGGCAGCGGCGGCGGCAAGAACAGCCTGGTGAAGCCGCCCTACTCCTACATCGCTCTCATTACCATGGCCATCCTGCAGAGCCCCAAGAAGAGGCTGACGCTGAGTGAGATCTGCGAGTTCATCAGCGGGCGCTTTCCCTACTACCGGGAGAAGTTCCCTGCGTGGCAGAATAGTATCCGCCACAACCTCTCCCTCAACGACTGCTTCGTCAAGATCCCCCGGGAGCCCGGCAATCCTGGAAAGGGCAACTACTGGACGCTTGACCCCGAATCCGCCGACATGTTCGACAACGGGAGCTTCCTGCGCCGCCGAAAGCGCTTCAAGCGGCAGCAGCTCCCGGCGCCGGAGCTTCTGCTGCGCGCCGTGGACCCCGCCGCCTTCCTCCCGCAGCCTCCGCCGCAGCCCCCGCAGCAGCCGCCCTGCGCCTACGGACCCTACGGCTGCGGCTACGGCCTCCAGCTCCAGCCTTACCACCCCCACTCCGCCCTCTTCGCCTTCCACCACCCCTCTCCGCCGCCCCGCCAGCCCCCTGCCGCCCCCGGCAGCGCCCCCGGTGCGGCGCTGCCCCCCGCCGCCGCCGCGCCGCCGGGCCCCTTGCTGCCGGCGGCGGAGCTGGCACGGACGCCCTTCGGCTACGCGCACCCGCTGGGCCCGGCGCTGGCGGCCTCGCTGCACTCCGCCAAGCCCGGCAGCGGCGCGGCGCTGGCCCGCTCGCCCTTCTCCATCGAGAGCATCATCGGGGGAAGCCCCGGCCCCGGCGCGGGCAGCAGCTGTGCCTCGCAGTCGACCGCGGGGCCGGGGCTGGCCCGCTCGCTGGGGAGCGCCGGGAGCGGCCTGCCCCCCGCCGCCGCCCTGCCCGCCACCCCCGGCTTCGCGGCACGGATCTCTAACTGTTAAGTGTTTGGGAGTCTTTCCGAAGGTAGGATCTGGGGTATCTCCTTTCTCCGCCGCTCGGACGCCCGGCGGACGCTGCCCGCAGGGGCTGCCTGTCTTTGCGTGGGGATAATTGTGACGGGGCTCGGGGGCCGTCCGCCGCGAGTGACGGACCTCCCGTGACCTTCACTAGTGCAAAGCCAGGTGTAGATCTAGATACTGCACGGGCAGGCGATCACTACATCGGAAAGTTACTCACTACTCCTTAAAAAAAAACAAACATGGTGAATAATGTCTCTAAACCGCTAAAGTTCAGAGATTCTCAGGTCTAGGAGCTTGAAAACAGTAATGTACAGGATAAAAAAAAAAAAGGCTTGAGGGAGGACAGCAGAGCAATACTTTTTCATTTAGTACACTTGTCTCATGTACTTTTATAAAAGAAAAGATTAACGTGTTTACACAGAAGAAATTCAAGATTATCATTTCTTATTTTAACCTGTGTTTTGTATTATAATAGACTTACGGAGTTTTTTATTTTGTACTTTATGCGTATTCTTTACAAGGAATATTGTTAAAATTACTGGCAAGTATTATTGTACCATTTTAATGTAAAATTTTTACACATTTCAAAAATAAAATTTATAATTTTCAAAAAAAAAAAAAATCAAAACCAAACCCAAAGACCAAAGGAGCCCAGCCAAACAATTGGCTTTGGGTCCTTCCCTCCTTAGCATTTCTCCTTTCTTTGGGACACTGATATTTTTTTTCTTTGGGATTTATAGCACAATAGTCAAGGAATATTCTAGCTTGACATTTATTATGTGCAAATTTGACTGCAAAGAAGAAAATAAAAATACGATCTTTACAGTCAATGCATTGTTAACCCTAACAGATAAAGAATAACAAAAAACCCAAAAAAACCCTAAACAATCAAAAAACCCAAACAAAAACAAAACAAAAAACCCCCCACAACACCAACAAAAAAACCCCAACGAAACACAAAAACACTCTACAAAAACAGCAGGAACGAAAGAGGGGATAAATAGAAATAGGTCTCTCTGGAGGGAGTAAAGCCCAGTTCTGTAAGGCACCAATCAGGGGATTGATTTAAAAACCGGTTTAAAACTATTTTTATACTTTTGGGTGTGTTTTAAATCAGAACTGCATCATAGTTTTGTTTCCAAGAGGCCCAAAGAAAAATACTACTAATAAAGGGCATACACTGAACTTAAGAGAGATTTGTTCTAGACACTTATGTTTCTGTGATGATAATAGTGGCATGTGTTTCTACTTTTCAATACATAAAATATAAAATGCGCTTTGTAATATCCTCGTGTGACGAGTTAAGTTTATAAGCTGTCGAAGTAAGGATATTTAAACGTACAAAACAAGCCATGAAAGCAGCTTTTCTCGTTCCAAACACTCGTTTTTAACAGCATAAGGTCCATAGATATCTATTTTATAGACTAAAAAATATTTTAACCAAAAATCTGGCCTCAGATATTCAGACCTTATATATGGAAAGGAGAATTGCATGTTTTAAGAGTAGGCATGTGAATGTTGTGGGCTAGGAATACGCGTTTTTCAAACCAGGGAGGCGCTTTTCAACTACGACTGTATTTATAACAATTTAGGAGACTCGGGGATCAAATATGTGAATTTTCATAATAAAAAACTAATAATAAAAAGGGAGGGATGCCTTTTAGTGCTCTTTGGAGTGAGAAGGGATTTTACATGTAGAAGTATTTCGTTGCCTGGGTTTTAAATATTCTTGTAGGTGGAAAAGTGGTGCTTCTCCGTTTTGTTTGTAGCAATGCTGTGTTAAAATAATGGGTTTCAAAAAACAGAAAGACTGGACATAAGATCTCTGTTGGGCTCCATTTGCACTCTGGAGCTGGAAGGCCTCTTTGGGTGTTCCGGGTTTTTAGTAGAAAAAGAAGTAAAGTCCATTCTAATTTCTAAAACAAAAGGGAAAACCCCGAGGCACTGTGTACGTATTCTCCGGAGAGAGTGAATCTTTTTCACGAGAGACCGATTAATTCACTTTCCCCCGGACTGGCCAGAGGATGCGCTGGGCCGACACGGGCCGGTGCAGCGCAGAGTACCGAGTTAAGCTGAGGCCCCCTCGAAGAGGCAGATAAAATCAAGCAGGGAATTTTTTTGCGGGAGGGAAGGCAGCTGTGGCCTTGCGGCTGTGCGAGGTTCCCCGAGGAGGGATGCTGCTGGCCCTCAGTTTGGGTTCTGCCTGCTCGAGTCCTAGAGATCTCCACGACCAGTTACATTAGAAGGATATATTCCGGCGACCCACCCTGTGTTTGTTTCTCTTGGAATCTCCGCAGTAGATCCCGGGGAGCCCGGCGACATCCCCCACGCAGAGTCTAGCCTGGCCCATGCCGGTGGTCAGTGAGGTCTGGGTGTGCCCACTGCCCGTCCCTCAGGTCTCTTCAGAGGTATATAGCAAGCAAACTGCTTGGCCATTGTTCCTTCCACGTTTTTCGCCGGTTGCCTCCATCCCCTGCGGATAAGACCTTCTCTTGGGAGTTTCTAGGGAAGGTTACAGGAGCAAATTGCAGTAGGTGGTATAGATTTTTTTTTTCCCTGTAAGTAAAAAGTAGTAGAGTAAGAGGTCTAGGGTCCTGGTGAAGCTCCTTTCTGCCTGTTCTCCTCGAGTCCGCGGGGAAGCCGCCTAGCCTCGGTCCCGGTCCCCAGGGTCCCTGTTTCCCCGCTGCTGCCCCAGAGCAGGTGCTGCCAGAAGAGGAGCCAGCCCCACAACCCTTTGATGAGCTCGCAGCACCGCCGGGCCGCAGCGCCTCATTCGCATGCTAATGGCCCGCCGTGCTCTCCGCGGCTTCCAAGACTAACAGAGAAGCCAACAGTATAGTCCTCACAAGGACCGAGCCCGGACGAACATTTCTTCCAAAATAGTCTGGGCCCTAATAAACAATCTGGTAAGACATGCAGTATAGTGTCGCCTCCTTCTCCCAGAGACAAAGTGTGGATTCATTAACCAGTCTACTTGCTCATCGTATCCCCGTAGGGCTGAGAGACGAATTACTGGATCTGAACTGGGAGGGGATTGCTCTATGAGGGGGCTAATGTTTCAATCAGTTCATCCTGAAGGACCACACAAAAAGAAACGTTTTCGTTTATGGTGCTATTATGCGGAGTTTTAATCTAGGGATAGATTTAGCCAAATGTTATCTATTGGGAATTTAATGAAGCCCTTATGTATTCAATCGTTTCTTATGCCACACACAGTGTCTCTATCCAGAAACGTTTCCTTCCACATAGTTCTTTGTTTCTGATGGATGATTTATATACTTTTAATTAGGTTTTTAAAAAATTATTTCTTTTCAAGTATCTTGTATAACGTCTCTCTTAAGCAGGACTGTGTTAGGTCCCTTCCCACATCCCCTATAAAAGAGGTTTCCCCTTCCCTCCCTGTTTTCGAATATGATTCGTTTGCACATCCATACCCTGTGCCCTTCCCGCTGGAGCGCTCCTGCTGCCTTGTGCAGAGGAGCCGGACATCATGCCCGCTCTGTCGACACTGTCGTGGGCTGCGACGGGCTGCGCAGCCCAGGGGTCCGGCCGAGCTCCGTGGCTCCCGTGCACAGCTCCTCGGCCCTGAAGCTGCTCTCAACCCAAACTATCCCCACCCGCACCTCCTTTGGACCATACCTTCGATCTGGTTTGTATTTTAGGTGCAGTGAGCAGCACTCCTGGGGTCATCCGGGGTGCACAGGCTGGTTTCAAATACCCAGGACCGACCCCATCGCCAAGTCCGGAAGAAGAAAGAGGGGAGCGAGGCCCTCACCTGCTCTCAGCTTCTCCTTTTCTTGCAGCGCTAGAGGCGAGGGCAGAGAGCACGGTCGCCCCCGTAGAAACAGAGGCCTGTTCGGGGGATCTGTGGGAAAGTGGATCTGGTTTAACTGTCCCTTGGCACGGCCCGGAGACTCCATTCCGTATGTAATACTTCCCCTCAGTACTTACAGTAAGTGCTGCTGTAGTCTCTGATAATATTGTATGTGACAGAAATAATTGAAATTATGATCTTGGCTAAGCCCTCTCTGCTCTGGAACTTGCTAACCAATGCAGATCCGTTTTTCAGCTTGTTCACAGTGGCTCCCCCACCTGCAGTGGTATTATCCCTGCTTCCCTCGGCGACGGCCAGCCACACACGCCATCGGAACCCGAGCACCGGCGGGGACCTGCTGCCCTGTGCCTGCAGCTGGGCGTATCCTGATCAGGTAGGTGTCCGCCTCCACCGTTTGTCACCTCCAAGTCGCAGTAACCTGCTGCAGGTGACTGCAAGGCCTCGCCACCCTTCTCCAAAAGTCTTTTCTCCTTTACAACCCTCACCGTGAGAGTCACGTCTACCAGTGGCCGTTGGGTCTCTGTTCATTGCCCCCTCCTGCGCTGCAAAGCACGACCAAGATGCGGAGGAGGCATTTACGCAGAAGTGTGCGTACGTGTGCGAAGGAGGATGGCGCCTGAGAAGGTAACAAGCCGCTGCCGAGCCCCGCTGCGGCAAAAACCGTGCTCGGTACCTCATTGCGCAGATGGGTGCCCGCCGATTTTGACGAGAGACGAGAAATGAACGCGAGTTCCAAGTCGGTAAACCTCTTCCTCTTGTTTTTCACTCGAGGAAGAACTCTGTTCCCCGCCGCCAGTCCCCGCCTGGAGGTGTACTGCGGGAAGCCGGCCCTGGAAACACGCCGGCGCCTTCCCAGCCGCCTGGCTCGACTCGCACTCAGCTACCGGCACGACGGAAAGGAGCAAAGGCAAAGGCTGCGGGGCTGGGAAGGCGCGCACGGGGAGCGCCTCGGCCCAACTCGCGACAGCGCGTCTGCCGCAGCGCGGGGGACACCGAGGGCTGTGCACAGCCGCGCTCCGCCGCGCCCACGCGTGGGAGCAGGGAGCCAACCGGGGCCGTCCCGGCGGGAATCGCCGCGAGAAACCCACGGAAGATGCATAGCGTACGGAGATGTGTCCTTAGCGCAGCGCTCCTGCTCCACCAGCTGTCACAGTGAGAGACACAGAGGCACCCGCTGCGCTCTGCGCCATGGGGAGACCTATCGGCTAGGCACCCTAGTGCCCAAATGTACAAAAACATATGGACTGGACTGGACGAAAGGGGCTTTTTTTCTTTTTTTCTTTTTTTTTTTTTTTTAGTGCGGTGTCTCGTCAATTTCAGAAATCTTCCGCTGAACTGAATTCAGAAGGAAATTTGTGGTTGTGGGATTTTTATTTTTCTAATCAAAATAATTAAGCTTTCCCTTCCTCCAAACCACAGGAGACCTGTTGAATTGATTGTTTCCCTTTCGCTGATGCTATAAAATGGCATAGAGGAATCTGCGGGCCCCCATATTTAGATGATAGATTATGCGATTTATGTTAGAAGAAAAAGGATAATTGGATAATTCCGTCGTTGCATTAATTCGTTTCTTAAGACTGGGGAAGCCCTATCTACGGTCAGTCCGAAGGTATTTCTGTCCCTTGAGTGCAATAGAAAACCATGTGAGTGCATCGAAATGAGTGTGAACATTTAGGAGTGTTTGTCTCGCACCATCTAGTGCCATCCAGTGCCCCACAACTGCATCGCTCCCGCTAATGCCCAGGTTCTGCCAAGTCCTTTTAAAACCTGTAAATGTCTATTCGTACCACAGCGGTCGTAGGACTGTTTCTCTAGTTTCATTGTGGAAGAGTACATGCACACCTGTATACACGAGATACATTAAATACACACAATCAAGATTAATGAGGTGACTTCCTTGAGTTTCTTTTCGTTAAATAAACACTGTCACTTCTGCTTATTCAGCAACAACCAGACGAAACAGATAGCTTTCTAATATACGAGTATACAGTGGAATTCCACCTGTCGGCTGCACAAGGGTGGGGGGGCGGAGGGGGAGGCCGGGTGAGGGGGGGGGGAGGGCGGTGGAGGCCCAGAGAAGAACAGCCTCTTTGAATAAATAGACGATTAAAAGAATCATTGGTGGGAAAAAAAAAAAAAAAAAAAAAAAAAAAAAAGAAAAAAAATAAAATATGTCCAGTGCCGAGCGAGGAGGAGCAAATGTATCAGGTGACTTTGCTCAAAAGTGGAGGGATCAGAAATTACAGGCCATAGAAAAAATAGTTTATACTTTATTTCTCGCCTGCCTCTGCTTGCACAAAATGCCGTCTAGGGATGCGCGGTGGGCTCTGTCAAACATCCCTTCCTCCTTCATGGAAGTCCTTAACCTGTCTTTCTCCGTGCAGACGGCGCTGCCTATGGGGCAGCGCACGCAAGTGTGTACCCTCGCACTGTTCGCAAGCGCTAGGCAGCCGGAGGCCCCGCTAACACCACACCGCAGACCTCTTCCCCTCTGCTTTTCACTTCTGTATGAGAAGCCAAAGTGTTGCCTTTCTCTGAAAATTAACCGCTTTAAATAGTTTTCAGCCCTACTTCCATCCCGATGTCTTTCCTCCTGGTGCTCAGACATCTGCCGGCCGGGACATGATTTTCGGTGGAATCCCCAGTTCCGCCCGTCCGCCTCTAAGGCAGATGCCCCGTCCCGCGCACAGGAGCAGGGCTACAGACAAGAGGTGTGGAGTGGATGGTTTTGGTTTTAAAAAGACTCTCTTCCTCTCCAGCCTCCTCCCTGCCCAGAAGGATTCCGCAACAACTTGCTAACACACGTGGGCATGCCAAACGTAGCGTTTGCACAAGAGATTTTGAGTCCCGTCCCGGAGAATCTTCTGCGCCTGCGGCTGCAGGACGGCACGGTTCGCCCGGTTAAGCAGCACAGACCCTGCGGCCGTGCAGGGCGGAGCTGGGGGCGCTGCCGGCAGCCCGGCAGGAGGGACCGTGCTCCGTGCCTCTTCCTGGCCCCAGGTACGCTGCCGAACCAGCGGGGCTCCCTCGGCCGCCCGCCGGTAGGGCAGCCCACTGCTGCCGGTGACGGAGCGCTCTGCGTTCCCAACTCCCCTCGAGGAGGACAACCTTCGGCCCAGCCCCGTCCTGCCGTCCACACCCACCGTGGGGTGCGCGGGGCGTGTGGGGTGAGGGGAGCCCGGTGCCGACGCTATAAATCCCTCGGCAATTGAGTTCTGCACCTTTGATTTGGAAAATCGGATTCTTTGAGTGGAAACAGTTGACAGGAACTTAAAAGGATTAGCTACATTCCACACAGGATCATTTTACTCGTAACATTTTGAAACGATTGATCCCTTCCAGACTATAAACAATGTCCAGAAAAATGATCTAACGAGACTTCCATTGTTTCCTTTTGTCCACGAATCCCCTATCGCCAGCAGTTTGATTAGGGACTTTGACAGGCTAGATTGCAATCACACACACACACACACACACACACACACACACACACACACACCCTTTTCCCGAGATAACTCTTGAATTTTAAATAGTTCACAATTTGCTCCGTAATCTCATTCTGCCAGAAATCGAGCGGGAGCGGAGAAAGGCAGGTAGGGGAAGAAGGAGCAAGGAGAGCCTGACGGAGAGGAGTGCCACAGAATGGCGAAATGAGAGGTGGGGACATTTCCCAAGCTTCACTTGCTGGCTTTTGTACCGGCCTGGCAGAAGAAAGAGAAAGAGAGGGCCCACAGGCGCACAAGCCTGCTCGGAACATAGAGCGTAGGATACAACACGTGCGGCCCCGTTCCCCATCGTGGCCCGACTTGACTCAAAATCCGCGGGCTTTGCTTTGTCCCTTTCTCCTCCTCTTCCCCTCCCGTCTGAGGGCAGGAGAGTTAACGCGGAGACATTAATGGGGGAGGGAGAGAGGGGGCCCTGCCCTGTCATGCTGACCGGCCGACTTTTCCTGTTTTGACACCTGCGCGCATTGCCGCATGCTCCTCTCACTGATTTATCGTCCAATTAAAGGTTCAGCCTCCCTCGAGCCACCCGTGCTGCCTCCCCTCGACGGTCTCCGCGGGTGACGTCTCCTCGGCGACAGCATGGGAGGTGATGGGTCGAGGTGGCCTTTTTTCGGCCCCTTCTGTTTCTCTTCCTTCCCCTCCGTATTTGTGTGAACCCAGGGCCCCGTGTCCCAGGGAAAAACCGGTGGGGGCCGGAGCGGTGTCCAATGGCGCGTCCCGGCCCGGGGCTCTGCCGGGCAGCAAGGCATGCTTCCAACCCGGATCACAGGAAAACTCAGCTCGGGGAAGCACCTCAGTTATGGCTCCCCTTCAATTAAGAGGCAGCAACTCCTTCCCGTCGGATTTCTCTGGACTTGTTCTTCCTGTCACCCTCCAGGATTCTTTCTTTCTTCTTTCTTCTTTCTTCTTTTCTTTTCTTCTTTCTTCTTTCTTCTTTCTTCTTTCTTCTTTCTTCTTTCTTCTTTCTTCTTTCTTCTTTCTTCTTTCTTCTTTCTTCTTTCTTCTTTCTTCTTTCTTCTTTCTTCTTTCTTCTTTCTTCTTTATTCTTCCTTCTCTCTTCTTCCTTCTCTCTTCCTTTTTTCTGTCCCTCTCTTGCTTCCTTTTTTTTTTCTTTATTTTTCTCCTTTATCTCTTTTTTTCTCACACTGAGAACAGGCGTCTCCTCAGCATAGACTGCTAGCATTGAGCATCTTCCTAACTTAACTGCGTGTTCCTTGTATCTATCAATCCACCTTTCTAATTAGACTAATTAGGAGATATGCGGAGTGTTGCCGGGTCCATAGACTAAACTGCTTAGGGTTTCTGAAAGGAAAGCTGAATGCCCGCCATGGGAGGTGGCCATTCAGGGGTACGGTAACAGTTGCTACATTTATCTCCTGCTATTGAAAAGAGCTCCGCTTAAAGCTCGATTAACATGTTTGGAAACTAATGCCACCCTGGATCCCTCTCTAATTAGAGGGCCTGGATAGATCACCCTGAGCAGTCAAAGGGAACTCCTTCCCGGGCTTGGTTTTTCTGTTCAGCAGAATTTCTTCTCTCCTCATAACCCCGCCCCCACCTCCAAAAGAGAAAGAAGGGTTGGGGGGGGGGGGGAACGGGGGGGGGGGAGGACGGGTCGGAAGGGAGAGAAAAAGATAACGGAGCTATAAAAACAGGGGCAGAGAAATGGCGCTAGGCAAAATCTTTTTCCCCAAGTGTTTTGTTTGGTCCCGGTTTTCCTGCGGCAGGCTCTTATTCCCGGATTCCTCTTCAGCGGTCAGGATAGGTTAAGGTTGGGCAGCTCCTTCTCCGCTGCCTGCTGCAAGCCAGTCAGTCTTGGGGAAGGGGAAAGGCCGTCGTACTCCTCCCCTCGCACGCACAGGTGAGGAGCGCATAGCCCGGCTCCCTTCTTGCCTCGCTGCTTTCCTCGCTGTGCCCCGCCGGCCTTGTCCAGAAAAAAAACAGTGCAGTAGAAAAGGGGAGGATGGAGGGTGAGGAAAAGTCACCCACGGAACTGACGGCTCCTGTCCCCCAAACGTTGCTTGCAGAGCAGCAGTTTCCAGCCGGCTGAGTGAAGGAAGGGCTGTCTGAAATCCCTCCCTGGGGTATCTTCTGCCTCCATCTCTAATCTGAGAACACAGCCGCTCACCTAAGTACGCACACACAACGTTTCTGTGCGCCCGCGGGGTGTGTGGAGGGGCGCGGACAGCCGGATAGCCCTCGGGTCGCCCCATTCCCGGGAAAGGCATCCTCAGCCGAGCACTTTAGCGTCGGGCACCTCGCGAATTTGCGGCGCCGTTTCTTCCCCGTACGGCAGGGATTCATTTTGTCCTCAGAAAGGCGAGTCAGCGATTGGTGCTGGCGGGGGAAGGGATGAGGAAAACGTTCTCTTCGTTAACACAAGCCTGTTACACAGATGGCTTAATGTACAGGATAGATATGACCAAAAGTGCCTAGAAAGAGCTGACACTCGTGACTCGGCAGGCGACGAGTCCGCGACGGCCGGCTCTGACCCGCGGGAGCTCACCGTCCTTGCGGCGGCAAACGAGGGTGCCATCGGATCCATACCGGGGTTGGTGTTGCGGACTTCACCCCTTTAACAGCGCACCAAGTATCCGCAGAGGAGAATAAAGTTGGGATTAAATGTATCTTTTATTATTATGTTGTTATTCTTCTTGTTGTTGTCAAGAATGATGCGGTGGGCGTTCTGGATAAACTGTTCAATCTACCCGGGAAACATATCCGCATCCCATTCTCCCCGTATTGCCCCGGGAGAGGGCCCTCTGAGCCTCTGGCAGGTGGGACCTCCTGAGAGAAAGATATACGGGGTGGCAGGCAGAGAAATCCAGTTGACATCTTCCTTTTCTTTCAAGCTTCCATAGTCACCTTATCCTGAAACCCATTGCAGGGGAGGGGAACAGAAGAGAATTGAGGGGATCTGCTCCTCTTCGTCCCGGTAGTTAGGCGACGTTACTAGCGGGGGAAGGGCTAGCTCGAGACCCGGATGAGCCGGCAGGTGGGAAGCGGGAAATTCCCGCAGTGTCCCGGCTCTGCCGCGCTCTTCCTCGGCCAGGCGGGGGGCTGCTCACGCTGTATCATGTCTAATCCCAGTGAACTCAACAGGACGAGTCCCAAGGACAAAACTGATCAAATATTTCCCTTAGGAACATACGGGGAGCTGTTCACGCTGTATCATGTCTAATTCCAATGAACTCAACAGGACGAGCCCCAAGGACAAAATCGATCAAACACTTCCCTTAGGGACATAGAACCTACTTTATTTATTTATTTATTTATTTATTTATTTATTTATTTTCCCCTCCAAAGTGAGTCCCTCTCAGAGGACAGATTTTTTTCAGCTGCAGAGAGCTCATCTTTTCATAAAATGTTCTCGGAGGA